TAGCATAGTGGTTAAGGCACTTGACCACTAACCAGAAGGCTGGCGGTTCAAACCCACCAGCCACTCCTCGGAAGGAAGATGGGGCAATCTACTTCCGTAGTGATAATGCCTTGGAAACCCAAGGAGAGGTTGCTGTGAGTTGGGTCCGACTTCATGGCACATAACAAGAAGTTATAATTTGAATCAGTTTGGGGTACACAAATCAAAAGAGGAACAGAATTTGTTTTTTTTCTATTGGAACCTTTTATTACATACGAAAAAAGTATTATAGGAAATTTGTTTTTGTTTTATTGCATGTTTAGATATTTTTTTGGCTGCATGTGGACATTTTAGATGAAAACTAATTGTAGCTGAGTAATGGCTAAGTGAATTCCCTTGCTCCCAGTGTTCTTCCTAAGCTGCTTATACCCACCTCATAGGCTTGTTTTGAGGATTAGTATATGTAAAGTGTGTAGAAGGATGACTGGCACATAGTTAAAAAAATAAACCAAACTCACTGCCCTCAAGTTGGATCTGACTCATAGTGACCCCTCCTTGGGTTTCTGAGGCAGTATCACTACGAAAGTAGATCGCCCAATCTTCCTTCCGAGGAGTGGCTGGTGGGTTTGAACCGCCAGCCTTCTGATTAGCAGTCCAGTGCCTTATGCACTATGCCACCAGAGCTCCTAACTGACACATAGTAAGTACTGGGTAAGTGTTAAGTACATCTATGTGGATATCAAACAACAATATACTTTATTTGTAGAAGGTCACATGAAGGTTAATAAGGTTGATAAGTGCAAAATTGTCAGGTGTCTGGCTTTATTATTGACCTGTGTCTCATCAGAGGTGAAAGTATATTTGTAAAGAATATTGGCAAGAAAGTGGGCAAAACATTTAGTAATAGCTGATGGGAGCACATATGGCACATTCTAGAGAAATTTGATGAGTTTAGGAAGTGTAGTCTCATTGAAGTTCTGATGGCGGTGATGTGTGGTATACACTATGAAGTATGTAATTTCCATTTATTGACTAAAGTGATTTAAGTGATGAAATTTTTATATGAATATGTAGTTTCCAAAAGCAGTCATTAACCATGTTGTTGTTGTTGTTATTTGCCGTCGAGTTGGACCCGACTCATAGCGACCCCTCCTTGGGTTACTCAGGCAGTATCACTGCGGAAGTAGATTGCCCAACCTTCCTTCCAAGGAGTGGCTGGTGGGTTTGAACTGCCAGTCTTCTGATTAGCAGTCAAGTGCCTTAGGCATTATGCTACCACAGCTCCCTGGTAGACATATGAGGCCTATGTGTTATTATAATTCTAAACGTTTTTCTGTTTCAAACACTTTTCA